TTCTAAAATTATAACCATATTTAAAAATGTTTAATTTGTAACAATGTTTATGCGTGAGCGTGTCGCTATATTTATGTTAAAATCCCTGAGAATCCGGGCTATGATTATAATAATATTTTAAAGCAATATGAACACTACATAATGTTGAATTTGAACTGTCTATTGCTAAAATAAAATTGCTTATACATACATAGTATACAGGTGATCCTTGATATAAGGAACTCAATGAATCGGAATATTATAGAATTTATTAATAATTTTGCTTAATTTTAACAGAAGATACTACAAGTACATATAAATATTCCTTGATTAGTCGCAAAACCCCATTTAACTTATTGTATAATATTATAAATATAATGTTGGGTGGCATTACTAATTTATTTTTCATATTATCGGAAAATAAGATATTTAATTATTTGAAATTTGCATAAGGTGTTAACTTTTATGCATATGTTGGAAATTAATATTTTAAATTAAGTATGATAATAGAAATGCACTTCAAATATGGCACACCTTTTATAATTATAAATCAATAAATGTGAATTGTAAACTGATTGCCATACATGTTATAAAATAAATGATTTGTTTAAAAACAAACAAACGTTTAATATTTCATTATTAGACACCTGTATTCCCCCAGAATTATTGATTAGTAAACAACACCTCAATTGATTATATAGTTATCCAATAAGAGCAAGGCATATTTAGAGATATAAAAATGCAAAATACTTATTTGCTAACTAAATATCTGCAGTATTCCTCCCCATAAGCAGTACTACTATATAAACCCTGTTAACTTATCGTAGCAGTTGGATAGATAGAGATTTGTGTGTTACATAATAAGTTCATTATAATCCGGCATTAAATTTTGGTTGAATAAATATTGGATAATTTGCAACTATTATAAATTACTAAAGATGTTGCTTAGATGGGCATTATATATTTTAAAACTCACAATAAGTATATTTAAAAAGTATTTTAAACTTAAAATAATTCGAGTAATCCGCTTAATAATCTATCAATTACTAAATATGCTACTTATATGGGCACTATATATTGTAAAATATACTCTCAATGTATTAAAAAAATATATTAAATTAAAAATGAGTCGAGTAGTCCGCGTAATAATGATATCAGGGTTTGTGTACCAAATATACGACCAAACAGTGAATTACTTGGAGTACGACGTGAACACTGACTTGAAGTTTGACCGCAATTCCGGTGATTACACTCTAAACGCGTCGATCACTGTTTGCTTTCATACNGAACACTGACTTGAAGTTTGACCGCAATTCCGGTGATTACACTCTAAACGCGTCGATCACTGTTTGCTTTCATACAGAATATTCTGTTCTCAAGAATACAACGCTACGTGATTTTATTATAAGCAATGTGTTTTGTGTGTTTAATTATAAGCCTAAACTCATTCATTGTAATAAATTATCGCCAATAAATTACCATTATAAACCTAACGCCAGAATTTGTTTGACATTTTTAAATACTTTTATCACAAATACTAGCGTCAAAATTATATATCATACATTTCCAGGGATAATGCTCAAGAATATGAATAAGGCGCATGTAACAGTTAATCCAATTTATAATCATGCACATTTTAGTAAAATGTTGACGGCATTTTACTATTCCACGTGGCATATAATACACATTGATGTGAGATTACAACTACTATTACCTCGACCATACCAGACAGACTGTTACGACTATGAGAGCAATCGTATGCCGGGAAGGGGTGGCTATAAGTCCAGAACCGACTGTATGTTAGAAGTGATGAAACAAATTGAACACAAAAAGTGTGGACACAATCACTACTGGAATTCACATACATTTGATGGCATACATAGATTCGTTGATTATATGAATACCAGTAATAATGTATGTTATGTGCACCCAAATATTCACCAATTATATAAATCATGTAAAGTTGACTGCAACAATTATTTAATGGATATTAATGAATATACTACGATAAAGAATAAACAAGATCCAACTATTCGTAATTCTTTATTTATTATGTACCCTTATATGACCAAAGTGAGCATGGTGTGGAATTATAGCCCAAAAGTGGATTTAATAGTGTATTTGTCATCAATGGGTGGACTCATGGGAATGTGGATGGGATTTAGTATTTATACGATTATCATAACAACTATGAATAATATAAAAGCTATCATTTGGAGTTCAAAATGGATTAAGAGATGGAAAATAAAGTTTCAAAAATTTACAAGCATTAATAAATATAATAAAGGAGTATGGCTAATTATCTGCTGTTTATTCATGAGTTATCAAATTATAGATATTTATCAAGATTATAATAAAAATAATATTAAATTTTCGCTAACTATTAAACCTAGAATGCAAATACCCCAAATCTACTTTATTATTCATCTATCGATGGAAAATATTACACTGTTAGCCAAATATTATCCAGTTTATTATATGCTATATAAAAGTATTCTAAATATTTCAGATGTCAATACAAAAAATGTATATTTGCAAGGATTTTATTCTACCTTAAAATATAAAATAATGTCCGCAAATGACTTGGGGTTATATCGTAGCCTAATATACGACTATAAAACCATTGGTTGCTATTTTGAGTTTGCGGGTCGTTTAAGGCTACCATGCCCTCCACACGACAATAGAATATTCAATAGTGGTGATAGGAAAACAATACCACAACTTAAACAGTGGTTTTTTGCGAACATAACGCCTCAATATTTATCGACATTCAAATCGTTATTATTTGAGCACCGATTGCAGCGAATTGTTTTCAACTATAGTAGCCATGGTTTGCACGGAATCGATGTTCAATTGATGGCCACTGAGTCTAATGATGTGATTACAATAGACATGAATACCGTAACAAATATCATGTTTACATCACAAATGTTTCGACAGTTAAATAGACATACATTTCGGTGCCGAGAAAGTGGGCAATCATTTGATGAGAACTTGTTTTATTTGAATAAATTTAATTTACAAACAAACTCGGCCGATTGCCGGTTGTATGAGCTGAATCGTACTTTCCATTGTCTGCCACTAATGGGCATTCCATATGCTGTGAGTATTGAAAGGTATTTAGAATATTCTGGGTTTAGATTCTGTGATATTTTTATAAATTCTGTGAATACGACTATTGCGAGTAAAATAGCTGCAAGATGCTTTAAGCTATATCACAATAGAGATAATATTTGTCAGAATAATATAATTACGACTAATATAATAAAAGTGAGTTCTAATGTCCGGAATTACACCCAGATCAATTTAATACCTAATTATTACATTAAGCCACAAATCACGGAACACTTGGCTATGGATTACAATGACTTGTATTATAACATTGGCGGTACTGTAAGTATGTGGATTGGATTGTCCATGCTATCTATTAGTACTGCAATTATATATTTATATTCTATGTTAAAGTCAGTGTATAATTATATTTCTAAACACTTATTGCGATTTTACCGTATGTTTAATAATTATTTATGGTTTGGTATAATAAACTGATAAATATAGCTATTCTGATTACTAACTATTAATGAGGTTATAATTGACTTAAATACGGAAACAAATATTAACATAAAAAATGTTGACAAATAACCTATTTAATATTTCGTTAAGAAAACAATAGACATGTACAATACTTATGAGACATTTTAATGACAATATATGGAAAAACAAAATTCTGAGATTAAGTGTTTCTGAATGCAGAATGTAATCAGTACTGTATTGAGTATAACTGTAAAATTATATTGATATTTCAGTATTTTAAATAAAAGTTAACATGGTTTAATTTTTAATTAGCTATTTTAATATAATTATTTCAATTAGTACTTATAATAGTTGTTAAATTAAATTAATATTTACTATATGGACAATTACTATATGGAAAGTGCACTGTATTACATTGAGTCACAAATCACTGAACACTTGGCTATGGATTTCAATGACTTGTATTATAACATTGGCGGTACTGTTTGCATGTGGATTGGATTGTCCATGCTATCTATTAGTACTGCAATTATATTTTTATATTCACTGTTAAAGTCAGTGTATAATTATATTTGCAAACACAACTGAATATATAAATATTAGAAATTAGAATTATAATAAAATTTCTAAAAATATTTTAAATTGTTTTTGTAAACTAAAATTAACAAAATTAAGTTTAAAGATTATATAGCAGGCATTTAAGAATTTTAAAAATCCACTAAATAGTGATGTATAATATTATTAAACTTAATAATTATCTACAACATTAGTGTACTATACTTTATAAATGACTATCATTTCTATTTATTAAATTTTTTTATTTGGATTATAATAAATTACTGTATATTAAAACATTGATCAACAATTTAATTACAAGTTATAACTTGCAATGTTTAATAAAAATTAATATTTTGAAAAATTACTATTAATCATAATGACTAATTACTTATTCATTAACTACTAGTGTTGTTGATATGGTATTCAAATAGTAAATGAAAAGGGAAAGCATTATTATATTTAATATATTAGATTTTTAAATTAATCCATAACTTAATATTTAAGTATTTAAAATCAATGTTCATTAAATCAATAGACTTGAAATAGTCCAAGTACACCTTTCTTTTGAAATGTGATTATTTCTATATTAAAAAAAATTAATTCTTAATCTTTTGCTTCAAATTTTGTCGAATAAAAAGTGGAGAAAAATTTGTAATCATTTTCCTGAATACGTTTAAGTGTGGACTCGAATGTGGGATCAGTTGGGAGACAATTCTCATCGACAGCCCAATCGTGGTATTTGTCCAACACTTGCGAGCACTCGGGTCTCATATCAGGATCATTTGAACGCATTGATATCAATAAGTTACGTAATTTGTCGATACATTTATTTAGTACTTCATTATAGGATGAATACGATTGCGGACTATATTTTTGGCTATTTTGCACAAAATTATATATAATTTATGTGTATAATTTTAACATGACACTTACGTGGTTTCATCCAGATCAATATCAAATATGTCAAGTTCGCATATCTTTGCCAAACTATAAATATCGATTTTGTGGTTATATTTTACGCCACGTTTGCGCACTTCTGGTGCGATATATTTGGGCAATCCGTGGGCCGACGAGTGCTTGTGGAAGGTGGCCAACCCGAAATCGGACACTTTGAGAAACCTGCCGTTCCTCACATCCCGGGCCAATAATACGTTATCCGGTTTAAGGTCCCGATGAATGACGGGTGGACTCAATTCATGCAAATACTGGACGCACTCTAAGAGCTCTCTGAATATATGGCACGATATGTAAAACTCAAGCGAATTCATCGGTTCCGGCGATTGTCGTCCGAATACTTCTGGCTTTATGTCCAGAATATTGCGGAGACTATCGGAACATAACTCCATTTCAATATACAAACGCTTATTATCTTCAAACCATGAATTATTATATAGGACACAATAGTCCGAATTGACCATGGCCAAATTATCCACTTCTTTGCTGAAGCACTTGGCTAATTTTATATCTGCAAAATCATTCATTATAATTTTTTTGTTTGCGATGTTAAATAAAATAATATACTTTCGATTGGAATTTGTTTAACGGCAACGCGTCGATTGTTAGTGTTATCAATAGCTTGGGTGACAGTACCAAACGATCCGGAACCAATAACGTTCAGCTCAGTATAAAATTGCTTATATTCGCTTATATCGGCATCAGTTTGGCCTATACAAAAATAAACTATCTTGTTATTATGTAATGTTAATACTGCTGTGATAAATAAATGTAAACTTTGCAGGAATATATCATATTAATTAAACTTAACATTAAACTTAACATTATCAATGTTAATTAAACTGAACATTGTACCTTTCCAAAAATGTTTAATTTCTCGAAAAATATTACTTAAAAATTGCACGCATTTATCGATGAAAACTTGACTTTCGTTATAATTATATTTTAAATACTCGTTTAACGAAATTGTCGCATGCGTTACGAAATTTGCGTACAGATAATCAAGCAGATTTTCCATCTGTTGATCCACGACTTCGTAGGCATCCTCAATTATAAAAAATTTATTATTTATCTTGGCAAATAAATTCACTTCGCTAATATTATTCTGATGAACCAGGTACAATTCTTGACATGTACCATCGAGTTTGACCAATTTAGCCCCATGTTGTAAAAGCGGATTATCATCGTCATCAACGTATTGTCCGCAAAAATAAACGAGTCCATCGGTTGTCAAAAAATAGGCGGCGCCACCATTCGAACATACCATTTGAATGTTGTTTAATCCTTGTATCATTTTTGGCGTAAATAAATGCTCGCATGTATCATGACCTAAGTGAGATCATTGACATGAAATTAATCTCAAATATTTATTTTTCGTATTTATGGTAAATTTGAATAATATAAATAATTACCTAGGTTATAATAACTATTTGAACCCCAACTAAACACGGTACCGTTGTCAGCTATCGCAAACGATGTGTAATGGCTACAATGTACGCTGGTAATTTTATAGTCATAATTATCATGTTCAAACCGTAATTGCCGAGGACACGGTATCTCATCAGCCGGATCACCGCAACCGACTTCCCCATTGAAGTTCAAACCCCATCCGTAGACACAGCCCCTATCCGTGAGGGCTAACGCGTGACTATCGCCACACGCTATTTGTAATACGCCTAACCCTTCGAAAAAGGTGACGATTTTTGGTTTAAAATAGCCGTCGCTCGAGTCAAAAGCTAACTGTCCGCTATCGTTAATACCCCATGAATAAACATGGTCGTTTTCCGTAATTGCCAAAATAAAGTCCATTCCATTAACAAATTGACGAATCTTTTGGTTACACAACTCCGGAATGAGTTCCGGTTGAGTGGTGTACTGGTTGTGACCCAACCCGAGTGTTCCCCAATAGTTGGCACCCATACCGTAAACCTGGTCATCGTTTGTGACAAATATAAGGTTATATTTGCGTTTGTCGTCGAACGCGTGAAATAACTTGATTTCGTAAATCACCTTGTCAATTTTGGCTATTCAAAGTAATATCATTAACATAGATTAGATTTACCATTTTAAAGTGTCATAAATTGGTTTGTTGCTTCACTTAAATAAGAGGCAGTTTAAGTTAAATTTATATTTTGTATAATTTTTCATTTGTAAAATTAAGCATAATATAATATATTTATTTTTAGCTGCACGTTTTATAAATACCTTCGAATGAGTTTCTAATTGTTGCAAACTTATCGGCTAATATATTGCGACATTTGACCTGAAAGTCGTGACTCGTTTTATAATTATAGTCCATATAATCGCCTAAATTTATGGTTTTGTGGGTCATATTAAATGACTCAATATAGATGTCGAAAATGTTTGTATAACCCGTTTGTGTTATGTTCCAACTACCTGGGTCAATTGCGTGAACATAACCATTAATTAGTAAGGTAATTAGCCAATTTGTTTCATAATGCGAAATTTGATGCTCCATTAGATTAACATGCTCATCAATCAATAATATTGGTTTTGTTACAGTAACGTTATTAACATGATCGTCCTCCTTGTACTGTCCGAACGTATACACGCGATCTTGGTCAGTTAAATAATATATCGCTCTACTACCGGCGAATAATTTTTGTACATTATTTAACGAAGTCAACATATACGGTTTAGTTGCGCGTGCGTGGTCATTTTGCAAATTATAATGCTCGATGATTCCCCAATAAAATACGTGACCATCTGTTGTAACGGCGAACGACGTATTAAGTGAGCAATGAATGAATTTAACCGCCAAACTTGTCGAATTATGCGTAAAGCTCAACTGTACTGGCTCAATAAATTCGGTAAGCTTATCGTTCGGATCGACCTGACCTTGAATATTATCGCCCCACCCATAGACACGCCCATCGCTTAACAGCGCTAGCGTGTGGTAATGACCGCAACTAAGTTGCGTCACGTGTTTGTTGTCAAAGAATTTAATCGGGTTCGGTTTTAAATACTGTTTACCAGGCCAAATTGCCAATTGGCCACGCTCATTTAGGCCCCATCCGTATAGGTTGTTGTCGTGATTTACACCTAGCACAAAATCAAGGCCGCTGACAAACTCCTTAATTCCAACCTCATTTAATAGCGGAATTTCATGGGGAGTGTCGACTGGCCGGCTATGTCCCAGGCCAAGCGACGCCCAGTAATTAGAGCCCAGACCATATATCTGGCCATGATCTGAAGCAAATAATATATTATAACCTCTTTCATCGTCGAATATATAAAACAAGGCTATTTTTGTAATAATATCGTTATTATCGCATTTTGATGATAAATTAGTCGCCATTTAATGACTATTATAAGTGGCATAGGTAGCTTAATTTATTATTTTAGACTAATTATTAATAATTATTTAATATATTGTTCGTGAAGTGATTTCAGTAATCTTATTTTTCCAAACGGAAAAGCGTATAAAAATTCAATGCTTAACATCTATAAAACATTAAACTAAACACAATAATAGCAATAAAGTAATAAATGAACGCGGATGTAATTAATAATACATAGCAATTATCAGTATTCTTATCTGGATAGTTTACTATTTCATTACGTTTGGAATTAGTCAACACAATAATCGCCATTGTTTTTATAAATTATATTGTTTATATTTATCATAAATAATTATATTCTTAATTCAGTAAATTATCAAGACTTACACTTCGCGTAAATTTAATAAAATGGAAAAAATAATAAATCGCGAAATATTTATAAAAGAAAATCTAAAATATTTGCTAAATTCTGTTCAATTAAATGATGCCTTTGTGTCTGGCCTTAAGGCGCACCCGTATTTTAGTGATATGATGGAAAATTTTGTCAAGGTTATTTTTATTATATGCAAGTGCAATTAATTAATTATTGATTATATTAAATGTAGAACCTGAATACTGAACGCGAAAAAATTTTGTTTATTTTGCTCGAATTCACGCGCGAGAGAAGTACGTGCGAAACCATCGTTGACCTACTGGTAGAATCGAATCAAAATGGCGTTGCTCAAATAATCCTAAAGTGTAACACTTCGATGGGACCCAACAGTCCAAAAAATTCCACGGAAATTGCGTTAGTCTCTCTCTCCCCTTTTCTCACTCACTCACTCACTCGCTCGCTCTCTCTCTCTCTCTCTCTCTCTCTCTCATTGTGATCCAATAGAGTGACCAAATGCAAGTCACCGAAAAAAGGGAGCAATTTTTATCCGATGCTTAAAATGCCTCGTGGTAAATTTATCATCATAAACAATATAAATGAGCTAGCGAAGGAAACGCAAAGGTTTAACAGCGTGTTCAGTCAGTTACATTTTGACATTTTCGTATATAACCATTTGACCGCCGTTGACATCGAAACAAACTTGCGCCATAACAGCCGGATCATCGATAAAAATTGCGACGCTTTCGGTCTAATGATTATAAGTCATGGCGAGGACGAGCGGATTTTGGGGACCGACGCCTGTAATGCGGTCGACAGCTTAAGAGACGACCCCTTTAATATCCAGGCAACAAGTATTATTCAAACAGATTCGATTGAGATAGCACAAATCGTGGATATATTCTCTGACGTTAATTGTCCCAGGTTGGCTAATGTGCCAAAATTGTTTTTTATGACTTGTTGCCGTGATCGATCCACAGGTATATCAACAAGCCAATATATTGTTAGCTTATATTGGGTTTTAAAAAGGATATTACGTTAAATGTGATATAGTTATATGTCATTGATAATTATTTTTATGTTTACTACTGTAACTTTTACTAGATGAATGTACTATATATTTATATTACTAGATGAATGCAAATTATTATTTCCTCGCCTATCGTTTAAAACTGAAGATTGGATGGACAATAACCTTGATACTATTGTTTGTTATTCGTGTGCTGAAGGTGAATGTGTATACACTAACATTTATTAAATTGCCTAATTAAAAAAGAATATTGTTATTTAAATGTTCTAGGCAAACAAACGTATTTCGACAATGGCATCACATATTTTGGTCAGGCACTAAGCCACTCGATTGCACAGTACGCCTGTGAGGAGTCATTAAATTCAATTATGTGCAGGGTGTGTTTTATGAAACTTTAAAATTTTGCAAATATGCTTTATATAATGTATGCGTTTATCTAACAGACCACAAATTTATTAAGACGATTTTGCATACAAATGGGTTTTAAATTGACGGGTGCCCCGGAGATTACGAGCAGGGCCGCTTTAGAAGTCTATTTTAATCCTTGAAGTGATTTTAAATAAATAACTGTTGTTTGAAGAATCATTAATAATATTGATTATTGATATTATATAATATTGTTGCACATATTGTTCAATAAACTTATAATCGGTTTGTTTCGTGAATTTAAAGTGTGGATGGGATTCAGTGTCTATACAATTGTCACGACAACTATGAATAACATTAGAGCTATTATTTGGAGATCAAAATGGATTAAGAGATTAAGTACTAATGAATTAAGTTTCAAAAATGTACAAGTTTTGCAAAATATAATAAAGAAGTATGGCTAATTATTTGCTGTTTATTCATGGGTTATCAAATAATAGATATTTATCAAGATTATAATAGAAATAATATCAAATTTTCCCTCAATATAAATTCTAGAATTAAAATTCCACAAGTTCATTTTACTATTTATCAATCGCTTCAAGGTATTAGACCATTAGCTAAATATTATCCCGATTTTTATACGGAATATAATATTCTAAATATTCTAAAAATTTCAGATTTTAATACGATATGTATATTTGCAAAGATTTAATACAGAATTAAATTTTAAAATATTGTCAGCCAATAATTTCCACTCCCACGCCTCACTCCATACACTGTAGTCCCACCCCTCGCGCGAGAGTAGGTCCCGCGTAAAAACCCTCTCCTGCGGGATTATTTCTTCTCTAACTAATAACAATGACTTGTATTACAACATTGGCGGTACTGTTTGCATGTGGATTGGATTGTCCATGATGTCTATTAGTACTGCAATTATATATTTATATTTACTGTTTAAGTCAGTGTATAATTATATTTCTAAACACTTGTTGCGATTTTACTGTATTTTTAATAATTATTTATGGTTTGGTGTAATATCTTGGTAAATATAGCTATAATTACAAGGTTACATTGTATTCATTAATATTAAAATTGATAATTTACTATACACAAAACTTTAATACTGAATACTCATAATATCATGTCAGGGAATTCTAAATACTGTACTAATAATTTTTTGTTTACAAATAATATAAAATAAAAGGAAAATCAATGTAAAAATGGTCCCGTATAATAAGATAAATTTTTAGTATATTAATCGCGAAAGGTATAAACCTTCAAAGGTGATTTAGCTTTACTCAAATACAGTTTTTAATTGTAATACTCTTATTAAAATTTTTATTTTATTTATATTTCCAACAAGACATTGAATGATATTGTATAATAATTTTAAAAATCAATAAAGAAATGTATACAGTTTGAAAACAATAAAAGCACTGGTTACGTAGTTTAATAATTAAAATGGGACAACTAATTATAATCGTATTGTAAACATTTAATAGTTTCTCTGAAAAATGTTTACTAATATTAATTTATATAATTATAAAGATAAAATTTTATTCAAAACAAATATATTTCTGAAATAAAAGCGCTAATTAATATGCATTTTTAATGTCATCCACGTTATTCAAGTGAGAATATTTTCTAATCAAAAATATAATGATACAAAACATAACCAACGATATGAACAGAAATGAAAATTCAAATATTATAAATACCATGGTGTATTTCTCTAGATACCTGCCCACAATAATAGTGGTGACCAGGTTCATTATACTCCTAAACATGAGGAACAATGTGCTTTATTTGTTGGTCATATTGAGGTATCGCTCAATAAACGTGACGATCCCCGCAAACATGGCTGAGAAGCCGTATAATATCATTATACTCGACACCCATAGGAAAGTCATTGAATTGCGGGCTGGGATTAGTAGTATTGTGCCCACTATTACACACAGATAATGCATAGCCATCAATTACTTTAAGTTGAATTTGTACACGGAGAATGTGTTTATTGCTAACCCTGTTAAATGTCACAAAAAATTAATTTCGATATTGATAATAAACTGTATATTAAAATAAAATTAAATTTACTAATTTAGTACCATGACATAAAATGACAAAAATTTAAAATATTTCCAATTAATGTTTTATATTTAATTTATTAACAATTGATTGAATATACAATATTTGTGTACTAGAAATTTTTGTCAACAAAATATTATACTGTAAACAAATTTTTAAATACATTTATATACTGTACTATTTATATACTACACAAAGACATACTGTATTATCAATTATGATATAAGGTAATTATTTATTTTATATGCCTAAATTACAAACACAAATATAATTTTATTACAATAACTATACAGCGATATTAAATTTTAGCATGTTATACGTAATATTAAATAAATTGTTTGTTTGAAAGTAAACAAACGTTTGTTATTTCATTATAGCACACGTGTATTAGCCCAGAATTATTGATTAGTAAACAACACCTCAATTGATTTTGTAGTTATCCAATAAGAGCAAGGAATATTTTGAGATATAAAAATGCAAATTACTTATTTGCTAACTAGATATCTGCAGTGTTCCCTCCCCATTTGCAGTAATATAAAAGCCCTGCTAACTTATCATAATATGCAGTGGGATAGGTAGAAGTTTGTATGTTAAATAATAAGTTAATTATAATCCGGCATTAAATTTTAGTCACATAAATATTGGATAATTTCCAAAGTTGCTTATATGAGCATTATATATTTCAAATCTTACCCTGAGTGTAATATAAAGGTATTTTAAATTGATAAAGAGTCGAGTGGTGTACGTAATAATCATATCTGCGTTTGTGTACCAAATATATAACAAAACAGTGAATTTAATCCAACTATTATAAATTAATAAACATGTTGCTTATATGGGCATTATATATTTTGAAACACACGTTGAGACTACTAAAAAAGTATTTAAAAGTAAGTAAGCGTCAAATGGTTCACTTAATAATCATATCAGGGTTTGTGTACCAAATATACGACCAAACAGTGAATTACTTGGAGTACGACGTGAACACTGACCTGAAGTTTGACCGCAATTCCGGTGATTACACCCTAAACTCGTCGATCACTGTTTGCTTTCATACAGAATATTCTGTATTCAAAAATATGACACTACAGTATTTTATTAAGAGCAAGGTGATGTGTGCTTTTGACGGCATCTCGTGTAATAAGTTATCGCCGATTAATTACCATTATAAACCTGACGCCAGAATTTGTTTGACATTTTTAAATACTTATATCACGAGTCCTAACGTCAAACATATCCATGGTAAATATCCATGGATTGAACTCGAAGATATCAATAAGGCATATGTATCGTTGAGTCCAATCTATAATCCGGCGCATTTTATTAAAATGGAAAAAGTACTTAACAATTACAGGTTTCATATAATGCATATTTATGTAACATTACAGCGACTGTTGCCGCGACCCTATCGGACAGACTGTTACGACTATGAGAGCAATCGTATGCCGGGAAGGGGTGGCTATAAGTCCAGAACCGACTGTATGTTAGAAGTGATGAAACAAATTGAGCGCAAAAAGTGTGGACACAATCACTACTGGAGTTCACATACATTTGATAGCATACATGGATTCGTTGATTATATGAATACTAGTAATCATGGATGCCATGTATACCCGGACTTTTATCAGTTACATAAATGGTGTAAAATAGACTGTAACAATTATTTAATTGATATTAAGATTGAAGGAAATGATTTATTTGGTAATCTTAAGAAAAATATAGCCATTATATATTTATATGAGAGCAAAGTGAGCATGGTTTGGAATTATAGCGGAAAAATGGATTTAATATTGTATTTATCAAAAATGGGTGGACTCATGGGAATGTGGATGGGTTTCAGTATCTATACGATTATCAACACAACTATAGATTACATAAAAAATATTATTTGGAGATTAAAACTGATAAGGAAATGGAAAATTAAATTACAAACATATAAATATAAAAAAGGATTATGGCTAATTATCTGTTGTCTATTCATGGGTTATCAAATTACAGATATTTATCAAGATTATAATAGAAATAATATCAAATTTTCGCTCACTATAATTTCTAGAGTGCAAATACCACAAGAAAGGAGTATGGCTAATTATCTGTTGTCTATTCATGGGTTATCAAATTACAGATATTTATCAAGATTATAATAGAAATAATATCAAATTTTCGCTCACTATAATTTCTAGAGTGCAAATACCACAAGTCGTATTTAGTACTCATCCGTTGGTGCAAGATCTTACACCATTATTTATATATTATCACAATTATTATATAACATATAAGCTTATACTAAAAATTCGAGATGACTTAACTAGAAAGTCATATTTGGATAAATTTTTTTCAATATTAAATTCTTACATATTGTCCGCAAATGACATGCGGTTATATCGTAGCGTAATATACGACTATAAAGCCATTAATTGCTATTTTCTGTTTGCGAGTGGTTTAAGATTACCATGCCCCTCGCACGAGAATATCATTCACACCCTTGAACAAGCACAATTGCATCAACGGTTTTTTTCAAACATAACTCTTGAATATTTATCGACATTTAAGTCTTTATTAATTGAGCACAGATTGGAGCGGATTGTGCTCAACTATAGTAGCCAGGGTCTGTACTTACCAGCGATTCATTTACTGGCGACTCAATTTAATGATCCGGTTATGATTGACTTGAATACGGAAACAAATATGTTTACGACGCATTCATTTCGACAGTTAAAGAGACCTACATTTCGGTGCCGAGAAAGTGACCAATCATTTGATGAGCACTTGTTTTATATGAATACATTTAATTTACAAACAGACATGCACGATTGCGTAGTGTATGAGTTAAATAGCACTTTCCATTGTCTACCTCTTATGGGTATTATATATGAGATTAGTATTGAAAGGCATTTAGAATATTCTGGGCTTAGATTCTGTGATAATTATACGGATTCTGTGAACACAACTATTGTGAGTAAAATACAAACAAAATGCAATAAGCTTTATGATAATAGTGCTCGCATTTGCCAAATTAATATGATTACGACAAATGATATAAAAGTGAGTTCTAATTCCCGGAAATACACCCAGATCAATTTAATACCCAATT